AGTAAGGGTGTGAAGCCAGGTTGCCACAAACTAACCACCTTAAAAACAGAACTTATACTCAACAGTAGACACAACAAACTGGTTAGTTTGAGGCAATTAACACATAGGGAATCGCATATTGGGGGTGTGATGCACCTATACAGTTAAACGTGTTTCTACATGTTTTGCAACGATTGCATGTCTCATCCCAGCTTTTGTTTATCTCCCCGATCTTCTCTCTTGCTCTATTTTGCACTCTTATTTTCTCTCTTGTTCTCATTCTCTTTTCCTTGTTTTCTCTCTTTTCTTTTTCTTTTTCTTTTTGGTTTTCTTTTTTCAACAATTTCTCTTTTATTTGAGTTATTTAAAAATTATGACCGGATCCAATGAGGATTACCTACGTATCACAACACCGCGTGAATCATATCATCACGTAGTTCAAGGAATAAATGCAAAATAAACAAAACATTTTTTGGGGTTTTTCAAATTTTCATTTAAGCAAAACTTCTAATTTTTCTCTATTACAAAGACTCGATCCTACATACTTGAGAATTGAAAAACTAAACAAACTCAAAACATACTGAATGAAAATATAAACTCGAAAAGGGAAAATAGCCAAGAGTACATAAGTGCCTCCAATCCTGCCCGAGGGACACCAGCTGGTCTTGTTGTTGGCCTATGCACCATATCATCCTGGAGGCGGTAAAGATCATCCATTATCTGGCGAACGAAGATCATTACTGTGGCGAAGAACATGGACCTGGTCATGTCCTCGCATTCGTTGCACCTTATCACAATGTGGTCGGCGATTCTTCTAACCCTTTCCCTAATGATGCCATTTTCTTGCAACAAACACCCAATCTGCTGAGATCTAGCCTCCAAAACCTGGGCGGCCGTATGATTATGTTCTTGCAAATGTTGTAGCTCTCCCTCTAGTTGTGCCATCAAAGCGTAGCAATGTTCTCTCTCGACTTTGAAGCTCTTGGCTTGTTTGGCCATCTCATTCTCGAGGGTAGTTAGCTTTTTTTTCAGGTTTGTGACTTCTCCATCGTATTTCCTTTTTAACTGCCAAACAAACTCTGCCCGCCCCTCTGCATTCTTCGATAACTGTGCTCGGGCTCTTGCCAAACTGCCTTTGGATTTTTCTAAATCATTCTTGTACTCACATATTTTCTTCCTAAGACCATTAATGAGTCTTTCATCCGTTCAGCTTCTTTCCGGATTCTCAGTAGCTATCTTCATCCTTTGGATCTAGGCCGTAGGACGTCATTTTCTTGGGCTAATTTTTTCTTCTCACCCTCATCCGCAGCGGCTTGCACATCATTATTGAACTTATGGTCTCTGATATGCCCTTCTAACCTGCTTATGGTGGCCCGGTATTCATTTTCTTTTGTCAACCACTCCCACTGTTTCTGTGATGCTTCGACAAACTCTTGGAGGTGGGGTCTTTTGGCTGGCCTTCTAAACTCAACTTTCCTTTTGTACCAAGTGAGGTAACCGGGTGATACTTCATCTTTGGATAGATCACATACTCGGGTATTTGCCGTCAAATATTGGCACTCACTCCAAATCTGGCGAACCACTGCTTCGTGAAACTGGCCATCAGAACGGATCTTGACCACATAAAGGCTAAGGTCTTGATCCTTGGGAACTATTTGACATCTCCCCAGCTATCGCAAAACTCTGTACAGGGCATAAGGATGGACACTTCTGAGACCCATCAGGAGGAAGTGAGGACCGGTGGATGGCATGTATATGATTTCATCAACAGGAAGCCAACCCAACGTCCATTCTATTTGATTTGCAGTGACGGAGCGGAGGCAACCCCTTCTGACATATTGAACTCGTCAACCCTTGTATAAAACTCCTCAATGCAGCTTTCCCCCGTCGACATAGTTCATGTACTGAGGACGATGACATAGATGCTCGATCATCCACATTTGTAGCAATTGCACCCTTCAAAAAAGTCTACTCCGGCTTTGCAGGCTGTGAGAGCTCGGAATATTTTAGACACTATCATGGGTGCGAGGGTGATTTTGGCATTGGTGAGCAAAGTGTTGACGGCCCCGGTTATCCATACATCGATATTCCCGTCCTTCCTGGGAAACACTAGAAGACCCAAAAATACCACCATGAAACGAAGCATCTATGCTCTTCCCATTTTAGTCGATTCCCTTTGCTGCAAATTTTGCTCTTCAGGTTTTCAAACCCCCATATGTGTCCGTACCGCTGATATATGAACTGTGGAGTAGAAAACCCAAGTGTCAAATCTGCATATTGGACCACCCTGCTTATCTTTAGCAAATCAAGAAACTTGTGAGGGGTGACGGCTCTTGGGCAACTAGGTATTTATGTCTCAAAGCTTCGCTACTCCCAACATAACAGGTAATCTCTTCCAAAGTGCGTGTGAGGCCGAAGTCCTAGAAATGAAACATGTTGTGAGCTGGATCCCAAAATGTAACCGGTGCTTTTATTATGTCTCCTCTAGGCCTGATCTTCAATAACCCGGTGAGACCCCCCAAGTATTGGTTGACCACATCTCGTCCTAATTTTTCCAGATCTTCCCACCACATATACAGTTCCAAAGGAATCTTGAACATGACCTTCATTGGCAAGTTTTGACTCGTGCTCATTCTGCACATTTAAATTAAGGCTATTGGTTTAAAACAAAGCGAATTTTATAAAAGAGGTCAATTTTGCAAAAATTTAAATAACACGGCTACTTTTGCAAATACGGTCCTTCAGCACTTTGAAAAGGAAGATTTTAGGGTTGTGCTTGCTAGGTAGCCAAGATTTGAAAAAGGACAATAGGTGGATATTCTTGCAAAAACGGCCTTTTGGCATCCTTTTGGGGACATTTTGGGCTTATTTAGACAAGAATGACATCACCTAGTTTTATTATGATAGAATAACAACATTTCATATTTTGGGTTATTTTTGCAAAAATGAAATTGGACCCGGTGAGGGTTACCTATGTATCCCGCATCCGGTGAGAATCAAACTTGCGTAGTTCGGTCAGTTTTGACATAATAAATTGTTTTGAAACCATTTTCCTTTTTTCCTTTTCTCTCTCTTTTTTTTAAAATTTCGGCAAAGTTTCGGTATACTTTGGACAACTGGTTTTTTTTTCAAAGGCGGGTAATTATCTCTCTCATACCTCAATTTTATTTTTTCCAATTTCCTCCCTATTCTAGCAACCGGTCAATATGCAAACCGAAGCAAATAATTGTACAAGTAGCACGTAAAAATGTATCAGGATGGTCTTTTGATTTTGGGATCCACCTGTCCTAGACGGACCCAACCCCAGTGTTGAGTCCCCAAAGTCAAATGCACATGATGCAAACAAGCGTTCCTACTAGGGATCCAGCATGAGGCTGAGTTATTCTAAGTTTAAAACCTGGGTATATTGTTCTAGACTTGGTGTACCCGAGCGGACAACTCGAGCCGAGGGGGGACTACGTACCGCGAACCAAAAGGCCATCCGGCTTTGTAACTTGTCCTAGCCTCTTTCTAATTCAAGGTATGACACTAACAGAAAGAGGAGTCACGCCAGCGTGCACATCCCCGAAGATAAGAAGAGAAGAGTTTCATAACAGTTTATATACAGTTCAAATAATATCAAAGTGGTAAAAAGCGACATTTAGTACAATAGGCCCAAACATGTAATAAAAATCAGATAATAAATAAAAGACAATTATAACAATTATTCTAAGCTCGAATTCTTGAACTCTGAACCGAAGTACTGGGTTTTGATCCCCAGTGGAGTCTCCAGAGCTGTTACACCTCCTTTTTGCACCTGAGGGTATATGGGAGTTTTTTCAATTAAAGTGACATTATCGAAATGGGATAAATTAATTTATCAGAGTCACCACTTGGAATAGTTTATTTGGTGTCCCAAGTCACCGGTTTATTTTAAAATCCCAAATCGAGGAAATTCCGACTTTACTTAATAAGTCTGTGAATCAGAAATTCTAGATAAGGATTTTTGTTAACCCGGGAGAAAGTGTTAGGCATTCCCGAGTTCCAGGTTCTAGCACGGTCACTTAAACTATTAATAATTGGTCTATTATCTGATCTATTACATGTTTTAAACCTATTGTGGATTTTTAACTTTTATAACTACTTTTAATTATTTATTGCTACATACTGCGAATCATGTAACGGGAACCGTACCCACAATCTACAACATGTTTAAATTATTAAGGATTAAACTGTGGCTGGGTCACATAAATGTACCCCCGGATTTTAGTAATTAGGCGCCACAACTACATCACGGGAACCGTAACCGTAGCTATGGTAATTATTTAATTAACGCGCCTAAAGCAAACTATGAAGGTTCAAGGTCTTTTCTATACTAATTTTGTATTTATGTGAGGGCCATAGATTATAGAATTTTATTTGCGTATGGCACACCTCAAATTATTTTCTAAAAGGATTAGCTCTTGATCTAATTTTGTGAGGGCCATGTATTNACTAGGTATCACAACCACGTCACATGAGTCGTACCCGTAATTGTAATAATTTAAACTCGTACCTAAAGCAAGCTACGGAATATTCATTAATTGCTATTCTATATTCGTGATTGTTACAAGGTCTTTGCATATGAATAGATGTAGTAATATACAGCTGAAAACTTAACTTTCTAAATATTCAAGAAATGCTCTTATATACAAATGTGAGGTAAACTGTGCCATTTCGAGTGGGGAAACCTATATGCGTGTAACTTTGATTCATAGGGGAAATTATAAGATTGCTTGATATTTTGTAAGGAACAAATCACCTTCTTCTAGTAAACTATTTCCAAACAAAGAACAAATACAAACTATTTTAAAACTATAGGCATGTTTATCTGGGTCTAGAATTGCAATCAAATAACCCATTAAATGGGCTTTCCTGCATCACTGTAACAAAGCCCATTGGAGTTGCTGAGGGCCGAGTCCAAAATTCCATAGACTCTGAAAGAATACTCTAATAACTAAGCAATGACTAGCAATTATTCAAAAAGGGAAATTCTTACAAAATAATTAAATACAACCTTAATTTCAAATCCCATTAATCACGATTTAGAACAAGAATCAGTTGCCATTTTAATTTTTACAACAATCAAGTGCTCTCAAAAGCAATTTATTAATGAAGCTAACTTGCTAAACTATACACTGAAACAACAGCCATGTATGCTTCAACACTAGGCAATAGCTTAGCCATCATTCAGGCGAAACCTGTTCAAATTTGAAGCTCATACTTAAACCAATTATTATAGGAGAATGTCTATGATTAGAACTAAGAAACAACAGTTAAACAGGCAGTTTATATTTTAATACAAATCCAAAATAGAGTACAAGTGATAAATGTGTACCTAAGCTTGAAAAACAAAACTGAACTTTGCCGAATAAGATCAAAGAAATCAGCTACTGAATAAGCCTACAGCAGGTCAGCAGCAGAAAAGCCTAGAGAACCAAATATTGTAGCTTCTAGCTCAACTCAAACAGGACCAGCAGTGAATCAACCCATAAAACTTGTTCTAATCCCTGAAACCCTTAGCCAAGACCCCAGAAAATAGAAAGAAACTAAAAATTTCTTAGGAAATCTTTTTGGAAATCTGGATTTTTAGCAGTTTGTGCCTTTTCTCCCTTTTATCTGTGCCCTAATTATTGGTAAGGGAGTCTTGTTATAGAAGGAATTTAGAGCAACAAAAATCAGATTTGTAAATTAAAAGTACCCCCTTAACTTCTAATTTTATTAACTTACCCCCTGCCCCATGATGTTCCCCCTCTTTTATCTCTAAAATGAAAAGCTTCCCTCAAATCCTATCCAATTCGAACCCCAGTACCCTTGTATTTACCCCTTTTATTTTTACTGTTTTAGGTTAAAACCGGGTGGTACTGAACCTGGACTACTTAAATCTTAAGCCCAATATATACTTGGGCTTTTGTACTAACAGAAACCAAATATGAACCCAACCCATAACAAAACAACTTTATGCAGAATTAAACCAATATTTTATTAATCAAAGACTAATGATGAACTTTTTTAAGAAACTATATATTATGAAAGTAATTAAGCCTAATTATTGATCTATTAATCACTGATTAATCAATAATGCCTTAGAAAAATAATTTTTAGGCAGAAAAAGACATCACAGTAGAGGTTATGAAGAATGGGAGGATAATTATACCGATGGAATCGCCAAAACTTCAATATCTCTGAGAAGAACAAGCAGGATCTTGATTCGAACTCTGACGAACAAAATATCTTAGCCAATGGTGAGAATTATAACATGAACACTGGCCGAACTCTCGTCTATGGCCAGTGCTTCATGCAACAATCCTCACCACACGCCAAAGACAAGACGAGGCAAAGGCTCCGAGGATTTGAATCATCCACAGCTATTTTGCTCGAAATCTGGCCAATCTGTGGGATGGGGCATTCTCAACATTAAAACGATTCCCTTTGTTGAAGAACTGGGAATTCATACGGGCTTTATCCTGAATTGAGGACCAGGTCAAGAAAAATCGAATAAAGAGTAAAAAGTTCGGATTTTTATTTCTTAGATCTCAAATTCAGAGAAAATGAGTGGCCTTTTAGAGAAATCAATAGCGGAATATGAATGAGGGGGTAATGGAGATTGTGCGGTTGAAATTTGAGGGCCTTGGGGGATGGTCCGACGCCACGAGACGATTTTCGGACGGCGGAGGAACGGTGGAGGTGGACGGAGGTCTCTATGAGAAAGGGGATTAGGTTTAAGGCCTAATCAAATGAATTATGAAGCCCATGGGGTGTGTTTGGTCGTTTAATGAGGTAAACAAGTTGAAACGACGTAGTTTTGAAATGCAACTACGTCGTTTTGATGAAGGGAAAATGGATCGGGTTTGAAGGGATTGCGCTTGGGTCTGGATCGATTTGGGGGAAAAATTTGGGCCGATTTGGTATAAAATTAGCCCAAATTCGGATTAAAACCCCCTTTCTTCAATTAACCCTTTTATTTCCTTTATCTTTGTTTTTTTTCTTTTTTCTTTTCTTTACTTAAAAAAAATCTGAATTAAAACCCTAAACTAATTTAAATTATAAAATTAAACTAATTATCTAATTATAATAATCATAAAAATTACTTGATCCTAAATTTAAAAAGAAAAATCACTAATCTAAAAATGAAAAGGTAAAAAATGTAAAAATGAGTCATTTTTGTGATTTTTATTTTTAATAAAATAATTAATTAACTAATTGATCGTAAAAATATAAAAACAAAAAATCTAAATGTAATTCATGGTATTTTTGATATTTTTTCTGATTTTTAAAAAAATTAAACGTGCACAAAAATGCAAACAATTAACAAAGTTCTACAAAAATACTATAAAATGGCAAATAATTAGAAAAAAAACTATTTTCTTTAATTTTGTATAGGAGTATTTTATATAGGGCAAAAATCACATGCTCACACCGTCCACCTCATATTTCCACTAAAATACATAAATAAACAGCCCTACACAAACGATCTAAACAAGTTAACCTTGTTCCTTTTACCATCGATGAAAACAAAGAAAGACACCATTGTTACTAAGTTTCTTCTTTTATCCGTCAATGGTGTTGGAATCTAGTATTTTTACTAATTTCTCATAGTATTTCTACTGATTTCTCACGACAAGGTCCAATATCTCCTTATTTTCTATTTCTACATATAGGGCTTTTTTCTTTTAAGTTATTGATAAAGCTAGGGTTTTTTTGGGGTTTTTCTTTGTGCTGGTCCCTTATCGTCTTATGTCAAGGAATATTATGGATGACTATATTTTAACTTGTTTTAACCACGGGGGTACATTTATCGAACAACCTGCCCCAATATACAAAGGGGAATTAGATTCTTTGTTGTTGCGAATCGATAAAGACCATTTTAGTGTTGTCGAGTTGTCTTCTTATGCTAAAGATATTGGGTATGCAGCAGTCGAAGGCTTTTATTGTCAAAAGGAAAAAATGGTAGAATTTATCAAAGTAGTATATGATTTTTAATTATATGAATTTGTGAAAGATTTAAAACATGGTGATATTTTGGATTTTTTTTGCGTCATGGGGTGAGTTAGCCTGAAGTACTCGAAGACGTAGTTGGTCTTTTATGTGGGACAGAAGCATGTGGGGGTGGTAATGACCAATATAAAGCTAGGGAAACATGTGGGAGTAATATAAATACTGAAGAACCTATTGAGCCGCCTGCTGGACCAACTCACAATGCTTCTGAATCAACTTTGAATGATGCAAAACCAACTCACATTGCTTCTGAACCAACTCACAATGTTGTTGAACCAACTTTAAATGCTTCTGAACCAGTCCATAATGTTGATAAAAAATGGAGTTAAATCAGATGTTGAGAGTAGTAACTCACAAGCAGATGTTCTTCCTGAAGAAGATGATTCAGAGGTCAATGATGAATTGAAATCTTTGAGGGCTCTATGGGGGAGCGAGGTAGGGTAAGCAGAGGAAAAAACCAATTGCAACAGAGGAGATACCACTAGGAGAAGCAGGTATTGACAGAGGATTTGAGGATATTGGAAAAAATAAGGCTTCAAGATATGTAGGTAAATTAGGTGGGGATGAGCAGTTTATTGATAGTTCAAAGGCTGATAGTAAAGATAGAACAGAAGAGTTAGATCCTGAAGCTATTCATGGTGTTGATATACCTGCAAAAAGGAGGAGTACAAAAGTTAGGTATGATCCAAATTGTGAATCTCCGTCTACGTGGAACAAATACTAAATGTATATACTCACATATTTCATCTATAATATGACTTAGAAATAACTTACTGATTGTGCTTCAATATTTGGCAAACTGCATCCTAGAACATCAAGCCAAAGAGTTATTGCAAGTGGTTCAACTTATAAGAGTGCAGCTCCAACAGGAATAGACCTTGGTTTTAAGGGTAGAGGCTTGAGGTGGAAGGGTCAAGATGTTGTCACAATTTCCCAGTTGTAGCAGATGATGGCAAACTTCAACAAGAAGTAGTACCTTAGAACTTATTTTTGACTATATAATTATGTAGCAGCAACTTATTATATTTTGGGATCTAGTTTTTGAAGAACTAAACTCTTATGGTTCTATTTAATTGTGTAATCTTATTGTTCTTATTAAACTTGGTAAGGATCATTTTTTAGTGTCATTTCTATATAGAAGTAATCAATGATATGGCTATGCCTTATTTTGTTTAGGGCAAACACCTTATAATTGGTGCTTTTCATTCAATATTACATAGCAGCAATCTTCAACACTACAACACAAGTCAGTTGTGCAAAATTTTTTATGGCAGATCAAAATATAAGTCGGTTGTACAATAGTCAGCCAAAGTAACAGAAATTTATAACAAAGGTCGCCTGTACAAAAGTCATTTTAACAATAGCAGCTAAAATTGCATAGTAGTGCTAAGATTAAATAGAACATTTCATATCCAGTAGTTTCAAAATAGAAGCACCAACATTACATAGCACTGCTAATATTACAAAAGTGCAGCTAAATTAATCAACAACACCTAAAACAACCAATATCACCTAAAACAATCAAAGTGTATCAGTCCTACAGTTTCCATAAAATAAGCAACAATACAACAACAATCGTCAAAAGGATCAGTCTTCTTTTTGCTCGAACTTTCTCCTCTTCAAAAGCTTTGACTTTCTTTAATAAACACCAAATTATTTTCTTTGCTTGAGTAGGCATCTCATCATCATACCAACAGAAATAATCACATCCACCCTTTTTCTACAAATATAACAAACATATTTAATCAATTTTTATCAAAGAAAATAATTCATAAAACATAATACAAATTACGAACAAAAAATTTACCTTTCTGATTTTGCAAGCAAAAAACCTACGACCTGGATTTAGTTGGGTCCAAGAAGTATTTAACTTTGGAGAAACACCACACTTACAAATTCAAGCGGAAAGTGCAAGGTGACATTGACGAGTTCGTCGATTTCAATAAGTTCGATATTAATGGATATTATCTGATATTTCAACCTTAATAAATGTGGCAACAACAGAAAGGAGAGAAAGAAGAGAAGAGAAGAAAATAATTGATACCAAGAAGAGAACAGAAACGAGAGAAAGAAGAGAAAAGAAGAAAAGAATTGACAAGAAGAGAAGGAGAAGTGTTGGAGAAGTCTGAAATTGACAAAATTGGATTTTTAACAATTGGGAAAGGGGTTAGGGTTTAAATAGAGATATATGTTATTGCTATATGTATAATTGGGAAAGGAAAAATCCCTTCTTGGAATCCTTCAGGCGCTTAAATAGGTTGTAAGTCACGCTATATGCCACCTGCACAAAACGTGTCTAATTGGTATAATAAATGCCTAAGAAATGAGTTCAGATGGAAAGAGGCCTAGTTTAAGTGTCTAAGTGAAAAATAGTGTCAACTTTAGGTGTCTCTGTATGTATTCCACCTTAAGATTATGATAATTGGGTTCTGCAACATCAGAAATCCCTGTCATGAATTGGTGCTCAATTCTTTGTGCAATGTTAATCTCTACTTTAAAAATACCAACGTTTACCGTAAAAATGGTAATAACAATTAAATTTGTTGTTGGGACTCTAAAAGTATGTGATTTATTTTTATGCTAGTTGTTAAGCAGTTGATGCTAGATATGTAAAGCTCAAAGACGAAATGCGAACTAAAGTAGAGTTATAATTAAATTGAGGGGTTAGCTATTCGGGCCTCGGACTGACCGATGAGGAGCCT